ATGCTACTGAATAGCCTGGTGCTTTTTCTAATTCCTCATTATTTGTATACGATTTTTAAAAATTTTCTGGAAGCTTTAGAATCCTTTCTTTATCCCTGGTAATCTGAAATTTCATGATGTGCCATGGTGTGGGCATTTTCCATTCACTGTGCCAGATATCTCCTAATCTAGACACCAAAGTCCTTTAGTCTGAATTGCTTCTTGTATTATTTTTTTAATTAATTAATTATTATTATTATTATTTTACATTCTAAGATGTTGTTGTGGAGCAGTTGGGGGGGAGGGGGAGAGCGGAAAGGGGAGGAGAATATGGTGGGAGGAGAAGAGGGGGTGTGGTCGAGGTCTGTGGCACCCTTCTCATTCCAGCAAGGGGAACCCTGGGTGCTTCCAGTGGCAGCTCTGTGGTCATCACTGGGCTAGATGTGGATGTCAGGGGGGCGTGGCTGAAGCCCTCAGCCACCCCACCCCACCCCCACCCCAGCTGGGGAGCCCAGGATGCTTCAGGTGGCAGCTCGGTGGTTGTCGCTGGGCTGGATGGGGACATTGGGTGGGTGTGGCTGAGGCCATTGGTCCCCCACCACTCCAGCTGGAGAGCCTGGGGTGCTTCTGGGCGTGGCTCAGTGGTCACTGCTGGGCTAGATGCAGAGGTCGGGGGCGGGTGCGGTGGCTGAGGCCCTCCCCCAACCCTAGCTTGGGAGCCTGGGGCTTCCGGTTCTTCTAGGTTTTATAGGTGTTCTTTGGTGGTGTTGGACCTTTACTGGTTCATATCAGAACTTTGATCTTTTGGTGTTTTGCATGTTCTTTCAGTTCTGTGTTGGATTATTAGCTGCCCCCACCACTTAAACTCTGCACTGGAACTAATTTGTTGTCCTTTGCTTACTTCTAAAACGGGGGAACTTTCTGTGGGGACCAGAACTTGAACCCTGTGGTTGAGCTAAATTGCTGCTTTGCTGCTGATTCTCTGGGGAAGGCTTTTTATGCAGCTCAGCTTTTAACTGTTGGCTTTGTAAGCCATTCTGGGTCTTGTGAGGTCCAATACACCTGGGTTGTGTGGAAACTGTCTGGGCCTGAGTCTTTTCAGCAAACTGCATCCCCTGCAGTTCTATACTCCTGACCAGTCTACACTGAGTGGGCCTGTGCCGATTGGAGGGCAGATCAGCTGTCCATGCTGTGCCCCAGTGTTCCCCCGGTGGGTCCATCTCCCCCACCGCCCACACTCCAAACACTTCCCATGGAATGGGCCATGCACCGGTCCCTTGCAAAGACTCGCTGGCCTCTGAGTGACTCCTTTTCCAGTTGTCTGTGGCCCCTCACTCCTCTATGGATCCACAGGAATGCTGTTAGTGGTCTTGCTGGCCTAGGGGACCACCAAAGCCCTACTCTCCCTTGCAGCCTCCAAGCAACTTCACAACAGTGGCATTTGCCAGCTCTTGCTCTGTGTGCTCACCAGGGCCAGCCTTGAAGTAGCAGGGGCTCAAAACGGTGGGAGCAGTCCTTTCTTTCACTGTAGCTTCTCCTGCCTTCATGAACTCTGTGGGTCTATCCTCCTCTTCCCCTGAGCTCTAGCGGCCCCAGCTTGGCAGTTGTTGCTTTTTAATAGTTGTAAATTGGTTGACTGTGGGAGAAAGCGATGCTAGGGACCATCTATTCTGCCATCTTGGTTCCAAATCTCTTGTATTATTTCTTGATCCTTGTCCTCCTCTTTATTTACTCTGTTCTCTTTTTGGAATTCCTATCAGCAAGACTTTAGATGGGTCACTCCACTACATTTTTTCTCTTTTCTTACATATTTACTGTTCTTTATCTATTTGCCCTACTTTCTGGGAGATCTCTTCTTATATTTAACTCTTTTATTAATTTTAAAATTTTGATAAACATAGTTTTAATTTCCAGGAACTCTTTCTCATTTTCTGTTTTGTTTTTGTTTCTGTTGGGTTTTTTTTGCTGGCTGGTACAGGGATGAAACCCCAGACCTTGGTGTTATCAGCATCATGCACTAACCAACTGAGCTAACTGCCCAGCTTTTTGATACTTCTTTTTTTATGACATCCTGTTCTGTTTTATGAATGCAATATCTTCTCATATCTCAGAGTGGTGTGTTTATAAAGTTTAGTGTGTTTAGTGTTTATAAAGTTTTGCTCTATTCCTTCTGTTAGCTTTTTAAAACTTTCTTTTTCTAATTTTTAATTTTCATATTGGAGGCTTTCCTTATTTGTCTAGTGATCCTTGGTTATGTTTTTTTTTTTTCTAATTTTAAAACTTTTTATTAGAAAAAATTTTCAATGTACACAAAAGAAAAGAGAACAGTATAATAAGCTTCTCATGTGCCCATCACCTGGCTTCAATAATTATCAATATTTTGCCAACCTTGTTTTACCTATTCCCCTCCCTTCTACACACATCCCTCTCCAAAGTTGTGGGTTTTGTTTGTTTGGGTTTTTGTTTGGTCTGCTCTTTTTTAACAATTCAGCACTAATCAGGAATTCTGTGGACATGGTTGAGGTTTGCTTCTTGGAATACATCACTTGTGGGTGATTCACCAGGGCAGCAAGGCTTTGCCTTAGATGAACCCCAACTACAGTATGTAGAGGTCTTTTTTCCAGGATCATTCAGCTTCTTCAGAAAATAAATGTCTGGTCTTTTGCCTGGCAGCCAGCATCCGAGTGCAGATGTGTGCACCTGGAAGGGGGCCAGCAGGCCCTTGTGTAAACCTTCAGTCTACAACCCTTGTCTCTCACTGGCTCTATGCCACAGCTGATGGCTCCAATTCCTAAGATACTCTGAGGTTGGGTAGGGGTAAATCCTCTTGCTTCCTCTTGGTATTCCCCTGAACAAATACTTTTAGTCTTGGCTTTCTCCACACTGAATGATAGGAAGGGACGCTACACTCTGCATCTTCTAAAGTGGGGGACAAGAGATACTACCTAGAGTTGATGAACAAGAAAGGCTTAACCATCAATTACTGTACAAAGATAATACAAAGAAGAACTAAACTAAACGAAATAATTACATTGGGAGGAATAAGAAAATAAAGAGGAGGAACTGAACCAAATCCTCATTTATCAGAGCCAAAACCAAAAAACCCAACAACAAACAATATCTGGAATTCATAAATCAAGAAACAGCAATATAAGCATTTTATTTAGAGTTCTGAAGGCAGCCACCAGGAAAACTAAAAGCTGAAACCATTAAAGTGACTGCCTAGGAGAAGCATGCTGGGGGATGGGGAGGGACAGAGCAAGGGGCTCTTGCTATACAAGCCCATGTGTGCTACCTGATGTTTCCAACTATGTGTGTGGACTCCTTTGATACAATTTTTTTTTTTTTAAAGATGACTGGTAAGGGGATCTTAACCCTTGATTTGGTGTTGTCAGCACCATGTTCTCCCAAGTGAGCTAACCGGCCATCCCCATATAGGGATCCAAACCCGCGACATTGGTGCTATCAGCATCACACTCTCCCAAATGAGCCACAGCTGGCCCTACAATTTTTTCTTTTAATTTAACAAAAGCATTTCAGGGAAAGGGGGAATTCTTCAATGGTCCCATTATTCTTAGAATAAAGACCTAAATTCTTTAAACAGCTGGTAAGTCTGTTTAAAAACAAATAAACAACAAAAAAAGCTTTTCTGATAACTATGAACTTATGTTCAGTTTCTGGCAGACCAATTCAAAGATTGACTCCAGCAGGGAGATTTTATAAGAAAAGATAATGGTTAGAGAATACAGTGAGACTTGATAGAAAAAGAATGTACAGTTAAATGTTACTACTCTCCTGACTAATAAGTCAGCTGGCAGGATGGATGACTGGTTTCCCAGAATAAGTTTTAATCCCATTAAAATTTATTAGAAAATTGCTTCAGTGTTTTGTTTTTTTTCCCCCAGGAATGATAATTTCTTCCCAGAAGGAGGTTGTAAATTACGACATGGAAAAAGGTTTTGTCACAGACCTGGCTTGGGGCAATTGTTTCTTTTATAAGTCTCGACAAATACTATGCAGACCAGCTCTGTCCAACAGAACATTCTTCAATGACGGAAATGTTCCATATCTTTGCTGTTCAAGGCAGTAGCCATTAGACACATGTAGCTACTGAGCACTTGAAATGTGACTAATGAAACTGAGCAACTAAAGTTTTAGTTTTACTCAATTTTGAGTAACTGAGATTTAAATAGTGGAATGTTGCTAGTGGCTAGTGGCTACTGCACTGGACAGTGAAGATCCAGACCACCTTGGCTCCCAGCCTCTTCTTACCCCAAGCTTTCCTTGTCTGCATTCCAGCCACGCTGGCCCACTTTCATCTCCTAAGATGTGCTCACTCTTGCCCCTTTGCACTTGTGCTCTCCTCTTCATGGGATGTATTTCCTTTCTTGACTCCCCAACTTCCTCATCTGGTTAATTACTACTTTTCCTTCACTACCTAAAATGATCTTGTCCATCTATTTGCTCACTTGTTTATGGTTAATTTTTCTGTCTCTCCACCACCACTGCCCCAACCTGCTCAACTCTGGAGAAAGAACACAAGTGCCACTTGAGCAAGAACCCTGCCACCTTGCCCATCACTGCATTCCCAGCATCTAGACAGAATGCTACTTAGCTGTCAGTGAGCATTCAGCTACTATCTAATGGACGAAAGCCTTCTCACAATTTTCATTGTCATCTCTCCCAATTTCTCTCTATAGACCATTCTTGCTACTGCAATTTAGTCCCACATTTCCAAAAGCCCCATAAGCATTTCTACTTAAACACCTCACTGTCTACACATTAAATAATGTTATCTCCTCTCTGTTAACAGATTAACCTTCAGAAAGCTGAGCTGTACTTATGTCATACAACTCCAAACAAAGAAACCTTCAAAGATATTCAAGAGAAAAATCAATTTTAAGGAAACAGTGAACACACTGTACATATTGCAAGGTTCTTAGGGTCTTTGTATACCAATATAAAAAGAAAGCAAATACAAATGTTTCTGTAAAGATGTGAAGTGAGAAAGTCAAACTTACTACAAGTTCAAAAATGTCCATGAAGACAGAATGCCCCTTAGGTGTTTTCTCATTCAGACTGGCAGGAGACCAGATCCAATAGAAGTAAGTGCCATCTGAAGAAAGGTGCACGGTGCTCATGGTGCTGCCAACAGGGAGGTGATTGGCTGGCATTGGCACCATCTGGCACACCTGCACATGAAAGGGAGGAAGTCTTCATTAGAGCACCACATATATTTTGATCAATCCTATCAGCTCATCCTTAATGCTATTAAGTCCAAGATGCGAACACAATAGGCTTCCTGACCAAAATAGAACTATATTTATCTCTAAGATTAATGTACAAAGATTACATAGTAAAAATATAAAAGTTTGTACAATGGTAGTAAAATAAATATGAATAGCCATGCAACAAATGAAAAGATTCTTGAGATAAATTCAAATTACATTCTAATAGGAAAGTATTTACTAAACACTTTGAATCTGCTATGCATGTGTGTTTTATCAAATACTTATAAAAAACAAAGTTTTAGAGAAATAGTACTTTCTGAAATTTCCTTAGTAAATGAATTTAAGACCATCAATTATATTCAAAAGATAGGAACTATGTCTTATTCATCTTCATATGCCCAGCACCTAATTCACAGCCTAACTCGATGTCATTTAATAAATATGGAAGGAAGAAAAAAAGAGATGGCAGTAGGAAGACAAGAGGGAAAGCAGAGAAGAGGGAGAAGGGGAAGGGACAAATGAAGTAAGAAAAAAAAAATGAAGGCCCATAACAGATCATAACTTAGCACATGAAGGCTTATTGAAATTCACCGAGTCCATAAGGAGGAAAAGATAAACACCAATTCTCTATATCGGACATGAAAGCACGTGTTTCTAATACTAAACATCCTTCAGCTTCAGCAGAATAAATAAACTTTGCATTTCACATTAAATGTGTAGTACATGCTAATTTTCATTGCCAGAGGTAAGTACTTAAAATGCGGGAAAATGAGAACCAAGAAAACTGCTGACTAGGTTTTTAAAAAAATCCAAGAATAGAAGAGCTGAAAAACCCCAAATAAAAATAATCAGAGAAGGTCAGATGCCTTCAGGAAACAGTAAGAACGATTTTCAGTTACTCCATATCTTTGAGTGGGTCACTAGTTTTCCTAAGGCTACTTTTGACTTCTCAGCTTCATTTCATATGAACTTTTTTCCAGACTTGTTTTGTCTACCTCAAAAGTAAAAACTCAGTTAACTGTTATAACTGCACTTTGAACTTGTAGTGCCAGGAAGTCCAGAAAGTTGACAATTACTTATTGGCCTACACTACCTCTAAATTGCTCCCAATGCACATATCTAGTTAGTGACCTGCAGCATTGCTCTCTTGGACACTGTCAAAGTTTTTTGCAGCAATACAGAGGAAACTAGCATTACTTCAGATGTAAACCATATTCTGAGATTTAACATCTGTTTAACTCCTAGGCTTATAACTTCTATTTCAAATACTATGAGACATTCTCATCTGTCTGCAATTAATGACAAGAAATTATGTCAATCGGGTATCTATTTGTTAATTTGTTCATTTTATTCATCAAACAATTACTGAGTACTGACTATGTGCTCTGGAGATGACAATGGCAAACAAGGAAAGGCACAGTTGAGTGACAGGAAAAGCACAGTTCTGTTCTCCAGGAAAGGCACAGTTGAGTGACAGACAAAAAGAGATGAAACATTCCACTTAATTCTTGGATGTGACTACTTTCAGGGTACTTACTCTACAGATGGTAACTCTAACTGTTCAATTCAACTCTGGTTGAAGGGCAGAAACTTGAAGTGTAAAGATCGCAAACTCTAGAGCTGAGAACCATGGGTTCAAGTTCTGGTGCTGCTATTTCTGGCTGTGTGGCCTTCGGCAAGTTACTTAACCTCTCTGAGCCGCATTCCTTCATTCAGCAATAAACACTGAGTGCTTACAAGGTGTCTAGCCTCAGTTGCCTTATCTGTAAGATGAACCTATTATACTTACACCAGGTAGGGAGAGGACGTGTATGCAAATTGCCTAGGCCAGAGCCTGACACAAAGAAAGATATTGATAAATGTTATTTACTACCCAATGGTTATTATCATCAATCAAAGGTCAGGCACTGTGTTATGTTCTAGGGATATAAAGATGAGTAAGACAGGGTCTGGACCTAAAGGTGTGCATGGGGCAGGGAATTCCAGAATAAAGTAGCAAGCGCCCTGATAGAGTGCTTAAGAGAGCACTAAAGATGAGCTCTTAATCTAACACACAATGATTTTATTCTAAACTCATTTCAAAGTCCCCTTTCCCACAGAAAGGCTGTTCAGAACAAATTGAGTAGGAAAATGATGCTTTCCCAGAATAGATCTGGTAAAACAAACAAACAAACAAACAAACAAAAACCAGCTAGTATTTATACCATCTTTGACTGTCTAGAATTTTTTTTAATCATAAAAGTTTGTTGTTGGTCTTAGAAACTTAGAGAGCATTCACTCAGATCATGTGGGAAAACTCTAAGACATTAAAGAAAAAACAGAATGCCCAAACTTTAACAATTAAAAGGATGCCACTCTGTGAGGAAAATATATCAACTGTATTATGATTATTTCTGATGATGTCAGGAACTTCCTTTACTATCTCCAAAATATGAAAGACAGTGCCTTGGTTTTTTGTTTACCTGAAGGGTGTTCTGGTCAATGGCCTGGAAAAGGGAGTGAGGTTTATTATCAAAAGATACAGGCCGATGGAGAAGACAGCCACTGCCAAAAGCCACCCATCCTGGCTCCAGCTCCTCATTCCGGCAGTACACAAAACCTCTATGGAAGAAAAAAGGTACAAAGGCTAAATCACTGGGCTGTGTCAGAAACCCCACAATGAGCTACAGCAAACACAAATAACATTTTCCACCTAATTTTAAAAAATGACTAAGTATGTAAACATCTGAAGGGGAGTGAATATATTACATTAACTTTGGGACTGACAAACTATGGCAAATATTAATTTTCCACAATGAGTTAGAGAGGAGAAAAAGTTGGGGAAAAGTTCTAACTAAATATATATGTTGCTCTCAAACCGTGGGTTATTTTAGCAGCAACTCATTGATCTTATATCCCAACTGAAAATCACTGCTAAGCCAATGACAAATCCAAGTGCAAAAAGACTTAACCAGAAAAATGTTCCTTTACCAACACAGAGAAGTCACTTATATTGTTACAGAAATCCTGGTCATAGAGGAATTTCTCACTGGAAACAATGATTTTAGGGCTACTAAACTCTTCAGAATCAAAACAAAGCTAAAATGCATTAACAGAACAAGGTGGGAAGAGGTGGCAATAGGAGAAGACTGGACTCACTGGAATTAGTTGTGACTGGTTATTTAGTTACTAGTCTACAGGGAGTCAGGATACACCCTTAAAGTCTTCTTCACAGAGATTTATGTAAGGAGGAAGATGTTCCAGCCAAATCATTTGGCAAGTTCCATGGAACTGACCTGAGAGTACCATGTAATCCAGATCCCAATTTGCTTACTCCTCTTCCAACTGAGTTAGTAGTATACAGGTAAAGACCGTCTGCCGTGAGACAGCGTCCCAAGTCAGCATCTGAAATTGTTTTTTCACAGGTAAATTATATATATGCTTTTTCTTTTTCTTTCTTTTTTTTTTTTGTCTTTTTTCATGTCCGGCAACGGATCGCAACCCTCAGTGTCGCGCCTGTACCGGACCGGGACCGGCAACGGGATCGCAACCCTCCGTGTTGCGCCGCACCTCATTCAGCCAGTGAGTGGGAACCGGTCTGTATGTGGGATCCGAACCCTCGGCAGGAGCGCACGGCCGCGCTCCCAAGCGGCGCACTGCAGCAGTGCGCCACCGGGCCAGCCCTCTATATGCTTTTTCTAATGAAATTATAAACACGTTTTTTCTAATGAAAAAGCCATAAGGAGGTTGAGTGAAAGATAATTTCCCACTCCTAAAATAAGTGCTTCAATGTGATTTCCAGGGAAGATGGCTTGAACCCCTAAATCAAACATCCAAAATACATGTGGGACCAGGGACCAAGATCAGGGAAAGAGGTCAGAGAGTTATTAGCAGGAGAACCTTGCTCAGCCTGCTAAATGTTTTTTTTTCTTTCTCTTTTTGACAAGCAGAAGTACTGAGTCAAGTTTAAATATTCTTAATTCGAATCTGAAATGACTAAGGGTACAACACTTTTACTAATGATTGCATAGAAAGAAAGGTGTGAGTCTTTCTCTTTTTGACAAGCAGAAGTACTGAGTCAAGTTTAAATATTCTTAATTCAAATCTGAAATGACTAAGGGTACAACACTTTTACTAATGATTGCATAGAAAGAAAGGTGTGAGCGCTTTAAAATCTTGGGCACTTGTTAGGTGACCTTGGACCTCTATGAACTTCAGTTTCTTCATCTGTGAGATGAGGATAATAATATGTATCTTAAAGGTTACTGTGATGGCTAAATGAGATAATACAGGTAATATACCTACATTGCTCTCTGGTACAAAGTCAATGTTCCATAAATGGCAAATGAAATTATGTTGATATACTAATGGTATACATTGAATTAAAATTTGTTTCTGTAGATCTTCCATTCAGAGACTAATTTTTGTATCTGGAAGGACATAGCACACAAGTATAATATCTCTTCTACTTAAAAACAGCAATTATGTTTCCCCTTAGTAATGTCTTCCCCGATCTAAAATAAAGTTTCTCCCTACATGGTAGCAAATGGTTTACTAACTTATATTCCAAAGAATTTGCTTGAAAATAGAGCTCATGGATAAAACTTTCAGTGTTTATTTTCATAATCATTCCACTCACTATTTTTAAATGGAGTTTGTCCACCTGAAGCATACAGTATTAGTTGGAGGAAACTCAATGTCACACCACTCAAATTAATACTGAGCAAGCTGTTACTTTATAATTCAGTCTATTAATCTGAGACAACTGGGACCTGTACCTATTTGTTCCTCAAAAAATTGGTTAAAATATTAACTCCACATCTTAAACATGTTGTTTAACTTAAAATTTATAAATTACATTTACTGACCAATCTTTAGATTAAGGCCCATGGCCTTTTGAGTCTGAGTCTGACAAGGGGTCGAGTGGAGGAGACAGACTAAAGAAGTTTAGCAGGAGCTGCTTCTTGCTGGAGCTAAGTGATGACTACAGTATCATCTTAACTTCAATCAGTGCTGAATGTTTCCACATTAAAAGTTAAAGGAAACTATTCTAAAAATTATTTTAAGAAAAACATTCTCTACCTAGAAACAAAACCAAAGGTACAAGAGAGTGAAAAGCAAACAGATCAGCTTAATACCATCACCCTCAGTGAGAAACTACCCCAAGGGAGATAGCAAATGGAATAAAGGGAGAAAATAAAGAAAGGGGTTTTAGTTCTGTATGAAGATGTAAGTTCGAGCCTACAGTGTCTGAGGACTTCTTGGGTACTGCTGACTTTTTGCTTCTCCAGCTGACTCTGGTTGAGCGAGTGAAGGTAATAACTCATATGCAGAAGCCTCACCACTTCCTCTCAGCACTGTTGCGTGACTATCTAGAACTGGTGGACTGTGAAAAGGCACAGACCCTGGGCTGAGAGGTGCAAGGTGGCCTGTGGCTTAGATTGAGCTCACACCCTTAGGGTTGCTCAGGAGGCTGCCCCATTGGGGGTGGAAAATGAGGGGGTGGGCAGAATAGGCCCTACATCCCACAACAAAATGAACACCAGTTACTTTGAGACTCATTTTGTTAGGTCTTTCTAAAACATTTGATTTTCAATGAAAACAATTTCCTGGAGTTTTTTCCATTCCTGTTTCATCAGTTACGTAATATTTAATGATATAATCACAATAACAAGTACCAATTACAGTAACAAACTGGTTGGTGAGCAAGGCTGATTCTAAGCAAGACTGAAACTCTGCTGGAGGGAGCAGTGGTGCACACACATGTCTAGAAGGGCCAACTGGCTCCATGGGTTGGTGGTCCTCAGCACTGGTCTGTACATTTTACTGAGTGAATAGAGAGGCCTGATTCATCTGGCAAGTCAGTTAAGTGGAGATCAAGTAAGAGAGCTTCTGCCATTTTTGCTGAGATAATATAATAAACTGACATGAAATACTGTGAAACTGCGTAAAAACATTTTAATTCAGCCTACTTTCTTTAAAGGAGATACTTAACAATTCATGCTCCCTTGATCCTTCTCATTTTTTGCTTTTAGAACAGGAGTGTTCATTAACACACATTATAAATTACTAAAAGAAATAGTATCAAGAAGCAAGATCTTATACCTTATTAGTAGACAAAAAAATTCAACTTCAGGCTACCATGCCCAAACCTAAATACCCAGGAACCAATTTCAGTAATTCAGTACATCCCTCTTTGGCAGGAGTGCATGGATGATACTTTTCCTTGTGATAGTAAAACCTATCCATTTTCTTACCTCACCAAGTATCAGCTTTTATGCTTTTACTGATAAAGCAGACAATGAGTACACTGTATAGGAATCTTAAGCTCTTAATGAAAAGGAACACACAGAGTTGTATCTAAATCATTTGACACGATGATCTAAAACCATTCTTTTTATATCTTAATATCAATCACATGACAAAAATCCTTACATTACCTTTATTTTCAGAACTGGAGCCAGTGTTGCTATCGGGTGCAGGCAACATGTCTTCATACCCCCATGATACTATGTGTTTGCCCCCAAGCAAACAGGAGGGGGATCCAGGCCCCCCTTCCAAAAGCAACAGCCTATGAGGCAGAGAAGGAGAATCGCAAAGACACTGAGACTATTCATTTCAGCAAGAAGACAAAAGTCTACCTACCACCACAAAGAGCAGAAACTAAAATAGCTTTACACAAATATTACACATCTGTAAAGATATTCACAATATATTTTTAAGTGAAAAAAATTACAAAGGAATGTTTATAATAGAAATATTATAATAAAATTATATCTGTATGTAAAATGTATTATTTTATATATACATGTGTATGTGTGTGTGAGAGAGTGAGACAGAGACAAAGAAAGAGACAGAGAGGGGTATGAATTAGGAAGCACATATACCAAAATTTAGGAGTGGTTGTCTTTGGGTAATGAGATTATGAATGATTTTTACTTTCTTCTTTATCCCTTAATATATCATCATCTCAAAATTTACAATAAGAATTCATTACAAGCTATTGCATATTTTTTGAAGACACAAAAATAAAAACAATGAAAACAACATGCTCTTGGAACACTTACAAAGAAGAAAAGAGAAGACAAACAAAATTCTTACTTAAGAAGGAAAATATGATTCTTATTTAAAAATATGAATCACTCATTGATAAGAGTTTAGAAATCTACTCATTAAAAGAGCTTTTATGCACAAATCTGCCCTGTTTGGAAGGAGGATAAGGATCCAAAGTGATAGCTTACCTATACAGTACATCAGCTACAGGCAGGGACCCTAGATCAGTCTGTTTCTGTAATAGATGGACTGTATGGACAAAAGTTTTCAATGATCCCCTAAAAATAAAAGGAACAGAAAATCATCAAAATTGAGAGTCAAATAATATGACATTAATATTAATTTTATTAACCACATGGGAAGGTTCCAAAATGTGTCTACTTGCTTCTGCCAATCAGAAGATGTGTTGTGCAAAATATACTTGATTCTTACCTATTACCATTGGCTCATACTATGAGAGTGGCACCATGCCAATTATGAAGACATTCTCCTTGAATTTGAAAAAGGGAACAGTTTTCCCCTAACACAAAAGTTCAAAACATAAAGCTCAAGCACAAAGAACTTGTGGCTATTATGCTTGGATACTGTTCTCATCACCAAGTCACCCTCTAGTCTAAAGGAGAGATTTTACAGGAAGAGGTTATACTTAAAGTCTCACAGTAATTTCAGGCCTGATTTTCTAATATCTTTCTTAAGTTCACCCATTTTGTATAACATCTCCCGTAATAACTTCGTATAGCATACATTATACGAAGTTATACGAGAAGCACATATACCAAAATTTAGGAGTGGTTGTCTTTGGGTAATGAGATTATGAATGATTTTTACTTTCTTCTTTATCCCTTAATATATCATCATCTCAAAATTTACAATAAGAATTCATTACAAGCTATTGCATATTTTTTGAAGACACAAAAATAAAAACAATGAAAACAACATGCTCTTGGAACACTTACAAAGAAGAAAAGAGAAGACAAACAAAATTCTTACTTAAGAAGGAAAATATGATTCTTATTTAAAAATATGAATCACTCATTGATAAGAGTTTAGAAATCTACTCATTAAAAGAGCTTTTATGCACAAATCTGCCCTGTTTGGAAGGAGGATAAGGATCCAAAGTGATAGCTTACCTATACAGTACATCAGCTACAGGCAGGGACCCTAGATCAGTCTGTTTCTGTAATAGATGGACTGTATGGACAAAAGTTTTCAATGATCCCCTAAAAATAAAAGGAAAAGAAAATCATCAAAATTGAGAGTCAAATAATATGACATTAATATTAATTTTATTAACCACATGGGAAGGTTCCAAAATGTGTCTACTTGCTTCTGCCAATCAGAAGATGTGTTGTGCAAAATATACTTGATTCTTACCTATTACCATTGGCTCATACAACAAATTACTATGGGAGTGGCACCATGCCAATTATGAAGACATTCTCCTTGAATTTGAAAAAGGGAACAGTTTTCCCCTAACACAAAAGTTCAAAACATAAAGCTCAAGCACAAAGAACTTGTGGCTATTATGCTTGGATACTGTTCTCATCACCAAGTCACCCTCTAGTCTAAAGGAGAGATTTTACAGGAAGAGGTTATACTTAAAGTCTCACAGTAATTTCAGGCCTGATTTTCTAATATCTTTCTTAAGTTCACCCATTTTGTATAACATCTCCCTGAACCCCATTATATTAAATATGACTAAAAAGGAAGATACGCTCAAATAATTAATACTTTGTGTTCAGAGGTATTCTAACTGTTGTGAAGCATATAATTGTAATATGTACAGGGCTCACCATGACCCAGTTCCTTTTGGACCCAAAGCTTGAGTCTCTGGGAAGTCTGTAATACGGTCAGCAGATCTAAAAGAAGCTGCTTTTAAAATGTGCAAGACTTACCTGGCCACATCCCAAGTATAAATCACCACAAGAACACTTCCTGAACTAAATGATCACTTGTATCAGATGGGCTGACTTCACCTGGCTGTCTTATTCTCTTAGCCAAGGCTTTAAGTGCTAGGTATCACATGCCTAAACCCCAAAAGAAATGGAATATCTAATGCTAGACCGAGTAGGCCTAGAGTCCTCCTCCTAATTGCCTCTTTCACTCTCTCTAGTGTTCAAAGAACAAAAACCAAAGAACAGTATAAGGCGGGGAGGCAGCAGATAGAGTATAAAAGCACAGTTGAGAGTCAGGACACACAGGCTCTGAAACCTGGCTCTGCCACTCACCTGCTACACAATCTCAGTCCTGTCACCTAACTCCTATGGATTTTTGCTTTTCCATCTGTCCAACAGGGATACTTCCCTGGGGAAGTGTGAGGTTCAAAAAGGGGCAAAAGCTTTAACGTTTGGGAAGGTGAGAACTATTAACTGACTATAAGGAATTATTACCTGCCAGACTCAATTAGATCTTAAGAGTAAAATATAAATTCCTTCCATGGCTCACAAGCCCCTATATGATCTGGGCCCTGCCAACCTCATCTCCTGCCCCTATCCATGTACCATTAGGTTCCAGCTTTCCTGTCTGCTTTGTTGTCCCTCAGATACCCCAAGCATAGGAAGAGCATCAGAGTTTTGCCCCTTGCTCCTTCTCTTGTGTGGAACTCTCTGCCGCTGGCTCTTTTGCTTGGCTAGTTCTTCTTCATCATCTGGTTCTCAGTTCAAATGTCACCTCTGCAGTAAGGCCTTCCCTGATATCTCTTGCTAATGCTGCCCCTCCCCCCTCCACTTAGTCATTCTCTATATCAAAATATCCTGGTTTCTTTATAGTGAATATCTCTCTCTGAAATGATCTTTTACATGTATTTGTTGTTTTTTGTCCACCTCTCTCACTCTCATGTAAATTCTGCAATTTTAGGGACCATCTGCCTGCTCATTGTTGTATCTCCACCACCTAGAAGAGTGCCTTGCACATGGTAAGTGAGTAATAAAAGTTTTGCAGAATGAATCACCCTGAGTCTACTCATCTGTAAGCTCTATAAGTTTAGAGACCTTGAATCATCACTATATCCCTAAGACCTAGCAAGGTTCCTGGACATCAGAGATGTTTAGTAAATGTTAGTTGGCTGAATGAATAAACATCATCATAATATTTTGGAAGAGTCATTTTGTCTTTGAGAGCATCAATCTCAAAAGTTCAATAATATGCCCCTAAAAACTTCATTAAAGCAAATGACCTAACACTGAAAAGTATGTGCCTTCAGAGGTAAATAAAGTCCAGAACAAGGTGATAATATTAGCAATAGAATATAAGAACCATCTTTTAAAAAACCCAAGAAGAAAAAAAATAAAAACATCCACTTCACCAAGATGGGTTCAGATCCCCTTACCAGCTAGCCGCCCCATCTCCTCACTCCCTCCCCACCCCAAACATCCATTTCAACATTTCTGCTGAATGGAATTTAGAATCTCAAGTACAGAAAGCAATTTAATTAACTATCTGTGGTATAAACTGAATTTGGGTACATAATTGAAAAGTGAGGTTTATGATTCAATGTTTAATAACTTAAACTGTTTGAAACTAAAGAGTTGACAATTATTACTAACCTCTTAAATCTTTCTAAAGATATACTTATCTAAAAGAAAATTTTCTCAAAATGGGATTTTTACATTGATAACAAATCTTTTAGGGCTCAAAATTGTCTTCTGCATATACAGAAAATAAATCAATCCAACATAAAGCCTTTACAGGGAAACGTATTTCAGTGCCACCCAATAAAGTCTCCAGAATTAAGCACATGTCAGGATTTCCACAATCATCTACAGTCTTCAGGGATCTAAAACTAGGCTATGACAGTTTGCTCAGGGCAAAGAAATTGACAATAAATACTAATGCAATTTTGACTTAAAAATAACTTTAGAGTCAATCATTTGAAGGTCGACTTGGAAACCATAAAGTGAGAAACAGGGGAAGAAACCTTATAGCTAAGAACTTCATAATCATCCAAAATTTTGACTTAAAAATAACTTTAGAGTCAATCATTTGAAGGTCGACTTTGAAACCATAAAGTGAGAAACAGGGGAAGAAACCTTATAGCTAAGAACTTCATAATCATCCANTATGAGAGTGGCACCATGCCAATTATGAAGACATTCTCCTTGAATTTGAAAAAGGGAACAGTTTTCCCCTAACACAAAAGTTCAAAACATAAAGCTCAAGCACAAAGAACTTGTGGCTATTATGCTTGGATACTGTTCTCATCACCAAGTCACCCTCTAGTCTAAAGGAGAGATTTTACAGGAAGAGGTTATACTTAAAGTCTCACAGTAATTTCAGGCCTGATTTTCTAATATCTTTCTTAAGTTCACCCATTTTGTATAACATCTCCCTGAACCCCATTATATTAAATATGACTAAAAAGGAAGATACGCTCAAATAATTAATACTTTGTGTTCAGAGGTATTCTAACTGTTGTGAAGCATATAATTGTAATATGTACAGGGCTCACCATGACCCAGTTCCTTTTGGACCCAAAGCTTGAGTCTCTGGGAAGTCTGTAATACGGTCAGCAGATCTAAAAGAAGCTGCTTTTAAAATGTGCAAGACTTACCTGGCCACATCCCAAGTATAAATCACCACAAGAACACTTCCTGAACTAAATGATCACTTGTATCAGATGGGCTGACTTCACCTGGCTGTCTTATTCTCTTAGCCAAGGCTTTAAGTGCTAGGTATCACATGCCTAAACCCCAAAAGAAATGGAATATCTAATGCTAGACCGAGTAGGCCTAGAGTCCTCCTCCTAATTGCCTCTTTCACTCTCTCTAGTGTTCAAAGAACAAAAACCAAAGAACAGTATAAGGCGGGGAGGCAGCAGATAGAGTATAAAAGCACAGTTGAGAGTCAGGACACACAGGCTCTGAAACCTGGCTCTGCCACTCACCTGCTACACAATCTCAGTCCTGTCACCTAACTCCTATGGATTTTTGCTTTTCCATCTGTCCAACAGGGATACTTCCCTGGGGAAGTGTGAGGTTCAAAAAGGGGCAAAAGCTTTAACGTTTGGGAAGGTGAGAACTATTAACTGACTATAAGGAATTATTACCTGCCAGACTCAATTAGATCTTAAGAGTAAAATATAAATTCCTTCCATGGCTCACAAGCCCCTATATGATCTGGGCCCTGCCAACCTCATCTCCTGCCCCTATCCATGTACCATTAGGTTCCAGCTTTCCTGTCTGCTTTGTTGTCCCTCAGATACCCCAAGCATAGGAAGAGCATCAGAGTTTTGCCCCTTGCTCCTTCTCTTGTGTGGAACTCTCTGCCGCTGGCTCTTTTGCTTGGCTAGTTCTTCTTCATCATCTGGTTCTCAGTTCAAATGTCACCTCTGCAGTAAGGCCTTCCCTGATATCTCTTGCTAATGCTGCCCCTCCCCCCTCCACTTAGTCATTCTCTATATCAAAATATCCTGGTTTCTTTATAGTGAATATCTCTCTCTGAAATGATCTTTTACATGTATTTGTTGTTTTTTGTCCACCTCTCTCACTCTCATGTAAATTCTGCAATTTTAGGGACCATCTGCCTGCTCATTGTTGTATCTCCACCACCTAGAAGAGTGCCTTGCACATGGTAAGTGAGTAATAAAAGTTTTGCAGAATGAATCACCCTGAGTCTACTCATCTGTAAGCTCTATAAGTTTAGAGACCTTGAATCATCACTATATCCCTAAGACCTAGCAAGGTTCCTGGACATCAGAGATGTTTAGTAAATGTTAGTTGGCTGAATGAATAAACATCATCATAATATTTTGGAAGAGTCATTTTGTCTTTGAGAGCATCAATCTCAAAAGTTCAATAATATGCCCCTAAAAACTTCATTAAAGCAAATGACCTAACACTGAAAAGTATGTGCCTTCAGAGGTAAATAAAGTCCAGAACAAGGTGATAATATTAGCAATAGAATATAAGAACCATCTTTTAAAAAACCCAAGAAGAAAAAAAATAAAAACATCCACTTCACCAAGATGGGTTCAGATCCCCTTACCAGCTAGCCGCCCCATCTCCTCACTCCCTCCCCACCCCAAACATCCATTTCAACATTTCTGCTGAATGGAATTTAGAATCTCAAGTACAGAAAGCAATTTAATTAACTATCTGTGGTATAAACTGAATTTGGGTACATAATTGAAAAGTGAGGTTTATGATTCAATGTTTAATAACTTAAACTGTTTGAAACTAAAGAGTTGACAATTATTACTAACCTCTTAAATCTTTCTAAAGATATACTTATCTAAAAGAAAATTTTCTCAAAATGGGATTTTTACATTGATAACAAATCTTTTAGGGCTCAAAATTGTCTTCTGCATATACAGAAAATAAATCAATCCAACATAAAGCCTTTACAGGGAAACGTATTTCAGTGCCACCCAATAAAGTCTCCAGAATTAAGCACATGTCAGGATTTCCACAATCATCTACAGTCTTCAGGGATCTAAAACTAGGCTATGACAGTTTGCTCAGGGCAAAGAAATTGACAATAAATACTAATGCAATTTTGACTTAAAAATAACTTTAGAGTCAATCATTTGAAGGTCGACTTTGAAACCATAAAGTGAGAAACAGGGGAAGAAACCTTATAGCTAAGAACTTCATAATCATCCAAGAACAATTTTCCACATATGCTTGGCTATAAAAAAGGAAGATCCCAACCAAAGAAAAGTTCTGAGGGAGAGGGACAGACTAGTGACACTAATCTATTAGACCATGGTCCTAGTTGGTACTCAAACACTTAGCTTAGAAGAAAGCAAGGGCAGTGAAACTTCTTTCTCACAAATATGTGTCAGTAATTATATGGGTTACTGGGTGGGCAAATGTCTAAATCCTTTCCTGGAAAAGCAATCACAATCACATTTTCTATTGACAGTTAATCAATAACATCAACTTTCATATGAAGGACAGCACATTATTAAATCTAGATATATACTAGGGTCAGCCTCTGGCTCACTTGGGAGATTGTGGTGCTGCTAACACCAAGGCCATGGGTTCGGATCCCTATATAGGGATGGCCGGCTAGCTCACTTGAGAGAGCGTGGTGCTGACAACACCAAGTCAAGGGTAAAGACCCCCTTACCGGTCATCTTTTAAAAAAATAATTAATTAATTAATTAATTAAATCTAGATATATACTAAGAGATCTTTCAATCCAATTGATGAAGGCAAGTATAGGGGTACAAAAATACAATTTGTGATTCAGTCTTATGACTGAGTCCAGATGAGTAAGAACCCATTAACTTGCTGACGTACTCCTTATACTCTTTATAGAGAGGCATGAAAAAAATTAAAAGCTCTACAGATTTTTTGACCATCCTCCCAGGAAAAATACAGACATAACATCCTCTGCTAACAACCTGATGTAAAATATTAACCACTTAAAGGGGTGAAAAGATATGGTGAGTGTTGATTCTCCATTTTAATCTATTTAAGCTGTTATCATGGTATAGCAGAAAGAGAAATCTTGAACTTGGGTTCCAGCTCAGATGCCTGGTGCCAAGTTTTGGTGAAAGCATCTTATGCATTGTCAAGGCTGTGAAATTCAATACTAAAAACAAAGAAGGACTTCTGAATGTTAAGACTTTCATCAAATACACTTGGCATCTTATTCTCTCACCCAATCCAGGTAGCAGTAGTTGCAAGGTCATCACATGATACACTCAATTTTCCTTACCTGGCACATGCCAAAGCCACCAGGGCAGCAGCAGCATTTTCTTTTTGCTTATATGGGATGTGTCGACCTGTGTCGGAAGTCTCCTCTAGCCAAGAGCACAGCAAAGTTTCAATTCCATTGAGACAGTCAGCAGGCTCCTTGGTCAGGCTCAAAGGCTGGCAGTCGCGAAGGCAGTTCAATAGCACCTCAGCAGTTATGTTACAGAGAGAGGGGTCTGTTCTACTCTGGGACTGAATAAGGGGGAAGACCAGCAGGAGCCCCATTCGCGATGTGAAGGGTGCTTGCTCGGGTTGCTGCAACAAGCCCTGGCGTTTGAGCAGGGCCAAAGTTTCTTCATCACCCGAACTTTCCCTTTCATGCTGTTCTTCCAAGGCCAGCTGGCGCTGGGCATTCCACAGTCCTCGCAAGGCATTCAGGCGGTATTCCAGCAGGCGGGCATAGGCATTGCTCTGATTCCCACAGACAGAGCGCAAACGTTCTGCTAATTCTGTCGGGTTCTTTGTCTCGAATGTTAAAATCTAAGAAAAAAGAACAGAGAAGTTGGTATGTATTGCTTTCACCAAAATCACCTACAGAAGCAAATATGTCTAATGGCATCTAAAAATAGTTGACACCAAAATTATTTTAATTGCAACCAAGTAGAAAACATGTACTGTAAAGTACATGTAAAACATGTACTCTTGGGCTGGCCCGGTGGCGCACTGGATAGTGCGCCGCTTGGGAAGCGTGGCGGCGCTCCCGCCTGAGGGTTCGGATCCCACATACAGACCGGTTCCCGCTCACTGGCTGAGCGAGGCGCGGGAGCAACGCCGAGGGTTGCGATTCCGTTGCCGGTCCCCGGTCCGGTACGGGGGCAACACTGAGGGTTGCGATCCGTTGCCGGACACGGAAAAAGACAAAAAGACAAAAAAACAAAACAAAAAAAACATGTACTCTTGCTGATGGAGATATTTTTTCTCTTGGCTTTTCTGCTAATGCGCCTATTAAAATTGGGCTTAGACCTAATTGAATGAACTCGAATCATAAAAAATATATTTAAGTGTGAAAGTTAGAAATTAATTCAAGTAATTTATTTTAGAAAACTGACATATAAATCTTTATTAAATGATCTTGAGTTATAAATGTTAAGTCTCTAATTCTTAATTACCAGGTGAATTGTCAGTGAAAACAGAACAAAGTTTTATCTTTGTTCTGCAAAACCTAATATACCTACCAATAAATAATGAATTATTTATTGTTCTTTAATTTTAGAGCACACTCCATTCTCACTACTGTTAACCCATTATTTCAATTTGTGACACGGTATAGATTTATCCAGTTCATATGTTAAAATGAGGAATCACCACAATTTTCTTGTCAAAACCTAATTATCAGGAGGCCTTCTCTAGATTTTCAGCAGCTAGAGGATAATAAAACCATTAAATCCTCTATCAACAAAGAAAAGACCCAGCTCTCACTATAAAAAAAACAAAACAAAATGAAAAACTGAATTACAATGCAAAGAGTTCATGGATATAAAACTGACTAGGTCAGAATGAACAGACCACTGTAACCAATGAATAAAGGAAGGCATTCTAGGAGCAACCACATTAAAGCAGATTATCAGGCACTAGAGGTGTCTGGTTCTCAGTAGACCAGAAAGTCAGGGTGGGAAGAGACTTGGAATAAAAGTAACAGGACATTGACATTGACATTAAGAAAGGTAATAGTTCAGTCTATTCATCTCAAAAACTGGAAAAATACGTTCTTCTATGTCAAATTTTGCCTTTAAGAACTCTGTTAGCCCAATTAAAATAATAAGAACTCCCAGAGAAATGCAAACACTTTAATTGTCTAACTTATTAACTATATGTGTAACTCAGCACTGAACTGAAAAAAGTTCACAGTTTAGAAACACCAATGTGGAAGCAAAACAGAAGGAGCAAGAAGCTAAAGAAAACAAAACAAGCCGAATTAGGAGCTGCTCGGTTAGCTAAGAAGAAAGAACAAGGAGAAGTTAAACAACAAAAGCATTATTGGCAAAGAAGGAAAAAGCCAAAAAAAAAAAAAAAAAAAAAACCATTAAAAAGGAAAAGCAAAAACTTCGAAACTCATCCAAGAACTGCAATCACTTTTCTGACGAGGCAGATTGAGTTAAAATGACAGAAGTATAAAAACTTTGTGATCAGCTTGAACCAGCAAGTTTACAGAGCTTGAATGAAATACTTGCATAATCTACAAAAGAAGTAGGAAAGACTGCTCTGGAAAAACAGAGAGAAGAAACAAATGAGCAAATTAGAAAAGAGAAAGAAGAAGCTGAGGCTTATATGTGACAAGAACCTAAGAATGCTGAGAAATCAACTAGCGGAGATGGAAATGGCATTAAAAATTAGTCAGAAAATGATCTGCAATTACTAGTTAAAGCCATGAATCTCTTCCCTGCTGGAGCAAATTCTAGATGGGAAGTTATTGCTAATTACATGAACATACATTCTTCTTACAGAGTCAAGAGAACCACCAGAGATATTGTTGGCAAAGCAAAGAGTCTCCAAAAACTTGACCCTCATCAAAAAGGCTTTTGATAAATTTTTAAAAGAACATAAAATGGTGCCTCAAGCAGATAATGAAACACCTTCAGAACAATTTGAAAGTCCATGCACACTTTCACCCCTTGGATAACAGAAGAACAGAAGCTTATGGAACAAGCTTTCAAAACACATGCCTAAAAGATGGGAAAAAATAGCAGAAGCAGTGCCTGGCAGGACAAAGAAAGACTGCATAAAATAAGGAACTTGTCAAGATGGTAAAAGCAATGAAAACTGCTCAAGAGCAAGAACTGAATGCAAGTAGAGCCAAGAAATTACTTAATGACAATTTTTGTTGGGTGTGCATTTTATAATAAAGCCAAAAATAATGTAAAAACAAGCAAACAAAACTACAAATTTCAATTCAAAAGATTAGCTATAAGTACTCATTTAACTGATATAAAAAATGTTTATAGTTAAAAAAAAAAAACACTTCAAAAGTCAGTGCCAGCCTATCATACCACAAATAACATCCAAATGCCATAAAATTTCAAACTTAGCAAAGAAACAAACGACTGATAAACACAAGTACTTCAGTGAATCTCAGCGGCATTTTGTTGAGTGAAAGGAGCCAATATCCAAAGGTTACATTCTTTATGATTCCATTTATATGACATTCTGAAAAAAATTAAACTGTAGTGATGTAGAACAGATCAATGGTTGTCAGGGTTCAGGGGTACAGATAAGTTATGACTAAATAGAAATAGTATACACCAAAGTCATCTGCCAAAAAAAGAAATAGTATGAAGTAGTTTTGGGGGGTGAATAAACTGTTCTGTATTCCAATACTGGTGGTGGTTACATGAATCCATAATGTGTGAAAATTAATAGAACTGTATCTCCCCCAAAAAACTCAATTTTACTATATGATAATCTTAAAATTAAATAAAAGGAAAAAATTCCAATCAGGCTAAAGTTGTATTCAACTAGGTATTATTGGGTAAAGCTGTACTGAAAATCAGATTACTAAAAATAAAAACCAAGGGCATTTTTACTTAGTTTTTAATACAACAGGATCAAACAAATGATGATTGATTAAATGTCCTTCATCATTATATTATACAAAACTGTATTTCCCTACCCTTTTGTTTGGATTCGCCAAACACAAATTACCCTTTTTATTATTTTTCAGATGGCAGCAGATAAAATAACTCAAGCTCCTTTAAAAATGATCACATTTCAAGGGTAACCACCTGCCTTGAAGCTATAGTCATATCCAAGGAAGCTAGACTGCCTTTTTCCTTTTTAGTGCCCACCCCCGAAAAAAAACAGTAAACAACCTCCACCATTACAATCAATAAACAAAGATTATTGAGATATTTTTCAATGATGAAAAAATGGCAAAATTTTAAATTTGATCACCTTCCCATTTATGAACATCTAAGCAAGTAAGACATTTTGTAGCATTTTTAAAAAAAGCTTTCTAATATTGATTTTGTGATTTCTTCCACCCAATACAACTCTTTGATATAAAATACATATGTGCTCCACGTACGTTTTTACTTATAGTACACTGATCATCTATTTATGCTATGAAATAACTACTAAAAAATTCAATATAGGCTTTTATTGAACTCAAGAAGCAAAGAACAACTCAGTAACATAAAACCCAGCTTTTTTTCTTATTATCAATCCCCAAACACAACTATTTCTGAAATATATTTCATGGTACATAAAATGATGTGCAGACAGAATCTGTAGCTTAACTCCGAATATTAACTGAAAAAAAACTATGCTGTATACTCTGTAATATTTTTCTGATGATTCTATTTTTACAAATATTTCAGTTATACATTCCACTTGAAATCAAGACAAATATTCTGAAAAGATTTGAGTTTCATATAATTAACCAAACATTGTATAATATATACACTTAAATGAAAATTATGTTTATTGATTTAGCAGTATATAAAGCATACTATGCTTTCAAAATCCATTAGACTACTCAGCATTATCCATTTCAATAGCCCCTTATGAAAATTCAGAACTGTCCACTATGCTGCTGTATTTTAGAATTCTAAAGTTTGAAGGTCATGGCCTAAAATCATTTTTAGATGACATCATACCTTTGAGTTTTAGTAAGTCAGCTATGGAGGCTCTATTCTGGTACTTATGAATATTCAATGATTTGTCTTAGATGCTCATATAAAACCACAACTCTCAGTAACTGCTCTTGACCAAAATGTCATTAGAAACTTAATATTTTTCTCTTTAAAAAAGGGGGAAACTATTTAAGGAAATCGGAAGATCCCTGTCATCCTGAATCAGAAGGGTCACTAACTGTACTTTGGTGATAATGCTGAAGTCACCCCAACTAAGGGAGTAACTTTGAAAGTAACTCACAGCCCTGATGTAATTTTTTTTTTATCATATGTAACACATGTGTTTTTAAGCTGAGACCACAACAGTCATTCTGGAAAGTCTAATAGAAGGTAGACAAAATATTCTTTGCTGGTCAAATCTGGTTTTGAGCACAACTCCAATATTTGATATAGGAAGAGTTATAGAAATTCAGATCATTTTAGCCATTTTCTATCTAGGAAAATACTGGAGAACATACACCAGCCAGCCATGATGTGAAACATGAAATGCCAACCTGCATTTCAAGTAAATGTGGGAGTAAGGATGAGCATATAGAGGCTTTTGAAGGGGCAGAGAATACCTATATACATATAAGAACATTAACTAGACTAATCATCAGCAGGAAAGTCAGGACCCAAGGATTTGAGCATGACCTACTATAATCCCCTAGATGTAAATATCAATTCCATCTACTTTGCTGTTCAAAATAGCCAGAGATAATTCTCTGAAAGTGTCAAGAAACTAAAATCACCTTTTCTTATATTAGAACATATTTCTGAAAGAAATACAGAGTAATTCTATTTCTAAGAATTTTCCCTAAAGAAATATTCTAGAAATAAGAAATGCACAGAGATATTCACTGCAGGCTTACTTATTATAGTGGAAAAAGTGGAAGCAATCTCAATGTCCAAAGGGAGATGTTTTATTAAGTTATAACATATCATAATGGAATATTATGTAATAAAAAAATCAAAACCACAAGACAATAAAAAGCAGTAGAAAAATCGTATATGCCCTCTAATTAGGAA